AAAACATTTGATCCAAAAATATAATTATATAAAGAAAGTATTTATGATAAACACCGTATAGCTACAGACGCATTCCGACAGCTATATCATAAAAATAATATTAGCGACGGTGTGCATTAGCCGTAATGATTTATTGTTAGTAGCTGTCATAGTTGTCATTCAATTTAATACGTATATCATAAAGGACAAATAACAGTTAATGATACAGAGAGAAGCAAACAAACCAGCAAAAAGACAGTGACGCGAACTCAATGAGACTTGTAAAATAGAAAAAAGCTATTTACCTGATCGTCATTGGCAATTATTCTCTTCCGAATTTCTGTCATGTTTTATTCGTTGAATGACTTTACGACACTTACACTTGAATAAAAAACTTAAAGTAAAAAATAGTAAAGTGACCCTTGGTTTATGTGGTTCACTTGCATATTTACATATTTAAATAATTAATTGAATACAACGGACGTGACAAACATCTATCATCTTTGCGCAATGCAAACTGACAGGTTAGCGCAGGGCGCAGAGTACGACCATCGTCGACGTTCGGTTTATTTCGAGTGCCTTCGGAAAATCAATGATAAAAAATGACTGACAAGTGAATGGAACTAACGACTCGTTCGCAATCTTAGAGCTTCTAACCCGCGTTGCTACTTCTTTAAGTTAACATCTCTATCCTTTATATCGGCCTTTTGAAAGGAAGAGAACGAAGAGATGGCATATGAGAAATTGAAAACGTTAGAAAGCGCGGCGATATTTAAAACGCAATACATACAGTAGAAAACAGTGTCTATCAAATAAATAAATAAATATATATATACATATATACACACATATATACTTACATGTTTTTTAATAGAATATTATAACAAAAATTATTTTGATCGTGTATATATACCGTGAGCTCAAAGTAAAACTTAGATACTTACATTTTTATATTTTATGAAGAGATTTGTAATGTAAACAAATATTTAAACAAAATATAGATTTTTTCATAAAGTACTGTTTAAATTCGTATAAATTTATCAAAAGCACAACTAAAATTTATTTACACTAAGTTTTATGAAATGTAAGATTTAAACACGTTGGAAACTAGCCTTAAATTTATAACTCAGACAGTTGGTGACACTGTTACTGCAGGAAGATGGGAATTCTCAATTTATGTTGCAGCTACTATATTATATATGTTGGATAAATGTAGAAATTGTAGCGTCTGTTCTAAAAATGTTGTAACTCCTTCAATTGTTTTCTTCAGCGAAAATATTCTCTAGGGGTTTGTTGAGGAGTCATTAACGAAAACGCGGACCAATCAGAAACAAGTACAACTTGGAACAAAACTTGTACAGTAATGGTAATACGGTAATGGGATCTACTCCTGCACGCTTTTCTTACTTCCTACGTTGTCTCAGCATTGAATCATCAGCCAATCAGGGCAAAGAAATTTTTATACCTATTTTCATTAACGGAGCACGTTTCGGTCGGGGAGTCCTGTAAAACTTGTAGTATTACATATTGTACTTTCAATAGCTTCGTGAAACACTACCCGTACCGAACAAAATATAATATTGCATTCTTACTTGGTTATCGTATATATACATAGCTTTTGACAATGTTTTGTTTGTTATGTATACTAAAGATAACAATTAAAAAATACCGATAGAACAAATGCGAAAGTATTCTATAAAAGTATTAAAAGTATTACTTCGATCGAAAATATTAATATTTGATAAAACTAGCGAAGAGAAATTTTAAGAACTGAATATGACATTGCCTGGTATTGGAGTTTTTGGTACTGGAAGCATTGTAAGGATTATTATTCCATTTCTGAGAGAAAAGGGCTTTAGGATTGAAGCTATTTGGGGCCGCACATTAACAGAAGTATCTGAAGTTGCGACTGACCTAGATATACCATTTCATACTAGTCGAATAGATGATGTGCTGCTCAGGAAAGATGTTGATTTAATTTTTATTATGTGCTCACCCAGCTTACATGCACAGATTGCAGTGAAAGCTTTAGGCATAGGAAAACATGTTGTATGTGATAAACCCGCTGGGTTAAGTCAAAGTGAAGCCTTAAAAATGGTGCGAGCTGCACAGTATTACCCTTCTTTAATAAGTATTGTCAATCATAGTTTAAGATTCTTACCAGCTTTTGTTGACATGAAGAAGGCTTTAGAAGAGGGATATTTAGGTGGTGTTGTAACTGTTGTAGAAGTTAGAGTACATATGGGCAGCTTATTACACAATGGTTTGTACTTAAATGAATTATCTCTGTAAACAATATTCTGAACTTTCATACAATTATAATTTGGTATATTTTTGTAGGGTATGATTGGTTGTGCGACGATACAATGGGAGGAGGAATTTTAGCATTAGTAGGGAGTCATGTAATAGACTTAATCTTTCATTTGACTGGTCAACATGCCTCAAAAGTACATGCAGTAGTTCGTACTTTCACCCAAACTACAAAGCATATAAATGGAATAAGGCATGTGACATCACCAGACTTTTGTAGTTTTCAAATGGAATTGAGTGGTGGTACATTGGTAACAGCAACTTTAAGCAACCACTTGCAAGGTCAACTTTCTCAAGAGGTATTGATATGCGGAGGTGGTAATCATCTTCTTGCACGTGGTGGAGATTTATATGGCTATCGAAATGGGCAAGAAGAAATGTTATATCATGATACAGATGATCTGCAAGATATACCATTTCCTATTACCGATTCCATTCCAAGACCATATGTCAAGGGGCTAAGAAATATGATTTCTGCATTGAGGCAAGCTTTTCAATCTGTGGAAGATAAAAAAGGTTGGATAAAGGAACCAGTATTTTCTGCATCAACTTTTGAGGATGGCTTGTATGTTCAAGCAGTTATTGATGCACTGCGACAAAGTAATAAACGGCGGGAATGGGTAAAGGTTAATATTTTGACAGAAGAACCAGACCCAAATCCTTTGTTAAGCGCAGCTGTTAGAGCCACAGCTATTTCTATATAAAGTAAATAATGTACAAAGACTGGTTTAATTATACAGTTATGTTTAGTGTTACTAATCAGAAATCAGCTACAGAGAGAAATAATAATGACTAATTACAACTTTTACTAAAAAGGTAGCTCTATATACAAATTAATATCTATTATTAAATCTAGATTAACTATTTATTTATTTCATTGGAGATACTAAAAATATGGAAATCATATTGTAAATATGTATACAAATACACATGAAATAAACAAATTTTTCAATTTGTTTAGAATCATATAATTCACATTAACAAAACGATACATACATCATGAAAATATTTATTTATATATCGAGAAAACTATTTATGTCTGAAAATACAAAGAAATATATGTATCACTGTAAATAAAATTTTTTATATTTATATTTAACGTTATCTTATTAATCCATTATTATTAATTTATTGCACATTAATTTATTTCATGTAAAATGTGTATAATAATGAATTATATTTAAATGGTTAAATAAATTAACACATAAGCAAATTGATTCAAAGTTGCAATTATTTAATAAAATTGAGAATGGATTTTTGAAGATCCCGATATTTCTGGTAGACACCTTGTAGCGTCTTCTGGTATCTTCTTCTGATATATATCACCTGATCATAACAAAAATAGAAATTTTTTAAATAATAAACTACGACGACAATGTTTTTCATATTTATTACATGTCCGAGGTTATTGCTTTATTACAGAACATACAAACCATTACAAGTTCAACAGAAGTCTATACATGTACTATAATAATTAAATTGTTCATCAAGAAATCAATTTTGGTCTATCTGACAAAATTTAAACACTTCTGACTTTCTACTTCCTTAACTTCATCGCCGGATGGCGCCACCATTTACGTCTAATTTAATTGAATCATATATTTATCATATATTTAATACTTTATATAGTTTTCATTTGATTTTCTTATATAACAAATTTGTAGTAAAATAAAATAAACAATGTTTAATTCGTAAAGTTAGACACTATCGTATTGTTGTCATCATATAATAATATTCAAATAAATAAAGCGTATGTCTCCGTTAGAAAGGTTTCCATAAAAATGTTGTAAAAGTGTAGACATAACTTAAAACCGAAAAGAGCTGATCGAAAAAAGCGACATACGTCAATGTAATGTTTTATTTTTCATTAATTATTCTCGTTCCATTGCTGCTCGAACAAATACCGAACACAAATCAATGAAAAGTTGATTAAAATAAAGTCTATGGTTTTCGTTAGGTATTCGCGCGTCCTGCGCATCCGGGAGCCGGCTGTGCGCACGCGCAAATTTTATACAGATTCAAAATTGATATCGAGCTATCGGTTCGCGAAAAGAGGAAAGCGAGTGGCATAGATGGAGGTCAAGTTTTCATCTCACGCGCGATAGACAGGGTAGCTTTACAGTAATTCCCCACGCAGGCGCATATCTGGCTGTAGTCCAAACAATACCTCTGTTCGCTGTCGTGGGCCAGCTATAACAGTAGTACAATTCGTATCGCCATCGCTACCGGATATACGATCGGCGATGTTACCAGTTACCATCTGTTGTTACCACTGCCGCTTCGAACGACTCGAACGTGAAATAAAAATGCTGTTCACCGACTTTCAACTCCGGTGTTAAACTATCCCACGGCTCGAACTGTGCGCTATACTCGATTTCAAATTGCCACGGAGTTTCGCTGAGAAAATGTTGAACCACTTCGGAACCGTTCTCCTCTCGCGTTGCATCTAAGCTGAGACTATGCTACATTGTCCATCTCCTAATCGATAGACGCGTGAACGTCGATTGCAGCGCTTGGTGTGGAACAAGTGGTAGTACGGTGCCCTCGTCACTGTTCGTCACCGATCGTCACTACTCGTCACGGTGCATTATTCGTCGCCTGTAGCCACGACAAGATGCGGTGCTACATCGTGGTGCACAACGTCTTGTCTTCTCGGACGAATGGTGACCGTGCATAAAGCAGAGGTAAGTCGTTGAGAAAAAAATTGCGTGTGACCGTTGGTACGTTTCTACTGGCTTACATCTATTTCCGTATAGTAGCCTGCTTCGTTATAGCACGGTGCCGGCACGCGTCAAATACTGTCCCCGAATAACGCGGGTACAGACACAGATATGTTGAACCACTCAGCTGCTCGCTCTTGAATCTGTCAAAAATACACGGGTCCACACGTTGCTCGAAATTTCACTGAAGAATTTCCTCTGTGTTGACTAAACGCTATACCGCTACGTTTCACCGTTCCACGATCACAATTATTACATTATCCATTCAACAAATTCGGGATTCTGTACGAACTTCTGTAATCGTTTACAATACAGGTAATCGATTACTCTAGATTGCCATATACACAATGTTTGTTACCACTTCACGTGCAATACTCTGGACAAACAATACTCTACACAAATCGTGCAATAATCTACTATCAATGAACTAAGATGTATAAATCACTTTCGGATCGGTCAGAGTCAAAACCATCTAACGGGCACATCTCAGATACGGTGTACAGGATCCGCGAAAAGATCAAAATCTACGAAGATAAGATTCATTAAAGAAAATGAACAAAATAAGGTCTCCAGATCGGTCTGGGATCAATTTTACGGCTTAGGAAAACAGAAGTTACCGAACAAAAGAACGATCAAGAAGATTGTGCATTACGTCAGGGAAGGGGAGAAGTGAGGTTGTGGGTGCTAGGTTAAATACATTAGTACCTAACACCTTCGAACATTGTGACGCTATCCTGGCCAAGGCACGCATTGTTTAAGTCATGGAAATAATATTTAAGAAAGTAGAACACTATAGAATGCGAAGCGTGTCAACGATCGTTGAACAGGTAGCAGTTTTTCGTTTCACTTTTATAAGTTTCCGGGAACGCGTCGATGGCAATGTGTGCAACGGTAAGACAATAATTGGATAAAAGAGATGTAAAGGTTCGGGCTTGTCGCAGCTTGGCGAGAGCGCGCATATTCGATCCTGAAATGCAGGGGCCGTAAAATAGCCTTAGGTTACTACTGCCTGGTAAGGCTCATCATCCATCTTTACTACTGTCGCCCGTTGATGGTACGAACAAATGATCCCCGTTGGAGAGTCGAATAGGTTCCTTGTGCGTGGCTTCACGAATCGTAACGGTCGGTGTGCTTATCCAAATTCACGGTTGAATTCTTGCGGCACCAACAAATTTGGACCCGGACGATCGTTTATTAAAAGCGAAGTACTCGAAACTGGCGTGTCTTACGACACTTCGTGAATATTTTCGCTAGCCATAGAACGCGGCGTATTGACGCGCAGCCAAGATCCAGACCCTGATGCAGCGGACAACAATGCTCGGACAACAAGCGTTTAAATAATACACATTCGAATCGCACGCTCGTCAACAGTGCGTTTCTCGTTGAGGACACCGTTGCCAACATAACCTATCGGTCGGTGACGAGCGCCGATCGAAACGGGGTCCGAACAATAACCAGGCATAATAATTCAATCGATAACGAGACCATCGAGTATTACCGAGTAACCCTGGGATCCGAAGGGGAGAAACCAGTCTGGAATTATGCCACGTATAAATGCCATGCGGTGACATTTAAGCAGATAGCTCTTTAAAAGTCACGTGAACAGGAAGTCAACGTTTGGCAACCCTGTCTTTGTAGAGCGAGCGAGCGAGAAAGAGAGAGAGAGAGAGAGAGAGAGAGAGAGAGAGAGAGGGAGAGACGATTTTTGCAACATTCCTGTGTTCGACCGGAATTCGGCTTAGTTGGATTTTGTCGGAAATCGTAGCTTCTCGAACGGTTCCTCTCGAGAAAGATCTGTCTCTTTGGAAAACTATGTTGCACACAAGGAAACTAGGGCAAGATAGCTCCCCAGGAACAGGGTACACTGTTCTATGAAAGTATCGCGATCTTCTTCGAAACTAAGAAACGCTAAACGATTTCAGTCAGGTTTCCCTCCGTTTTCTGCATTCAAAGATAGAATTTTCTATTGTAGGGCGAAGTAGGGACACGCAACAATCGTGTACGAATGTCGAAATAGTTCGGACCAGAGAAATGATCGGACCTCAAGAGGAAAAAAAAACGGCCGCCTTCCGTCAGAGAAAGAACAATCGGTGAAAGGAAGACGGTGCCGGCACCAAATCTGTATCTTCTGTAGCCGTATATGGCCCCAGAATTCGCAGAAGAGTAGCCACCGGTGTTTAGAATGTCAAGATTGGACCGACGCACACACACACACACACACGCCGGAGTTGATGACAGGGATACAAACATCGCTTACGTCTGTGGCGCGTGTAAATAGTTGCACCCCGTCTTGTCCCATATGCGTGGGGGACACCGTTCTTGCGTCTAAACCGATTCTCTTTGTACTTTGTATGTTCGACTTCGACAGGAGAGAGATTGCGACTTTAACAGTTTTACATGTACACTATACTCGAGCGTTATTTATAAACATGTTATCAATAAGTACGATGATTTGTAATGATTTGTTTTCTTCACGTCCTCCTTCATCCCAGCGGTGTTTAACGGTCGGACTCGGTATTTAAAGCCGACGATGTTAAACATAACCGACGTGTCTTCTTTGATTCGTACAAGACACGAACTATATTTTTCAATTGTTTCGGGTAGGATAGTTCGAAATCACTAGTACGCTCGTGTGCGGTGGTAAAACTTCTTTATTTCCGCGGACTGTGTATCAGGGCGAGTCGCGATGCAGCGAACGAGTCTGCTTTTTCCTTTCGCCGTTTGCCCTGGTAAAATTCTTGAACAACCCTGATTGGTCAACCCCGCGCGTTGGGCCTTTCCAATCAGCGTTGCTCATTTTGTCCTTTTTACCGCCTGCCCCTTACGCTCTTTGCGTATTTTCGGGATGGCGTGGTAATCGTAGGGGATGATGAGTTGTACGTGAGACAACGTGTGGAACTTTTCCTCCGGGTCACCCGCGACGGACCACATGGCCTTTGGGTCGCTGGGTCCGCTTCGAGTACCCTTCGGAAACTCTCCTAATTTATGACGGTCTCTTCAGCTATTGAGGAATTTCTGAAAAAACTCTATTGCAAACATGTGCTGTCAAGGTTTGGGACTTGTCATCTCAAAAATAGCTTCTTCGAAGGATAGTTATAAATTACGCTGGCCGTTTGCACGAGGACTGAAGATCCTATAGTGCGCACGACTGGTCGCTACAATTGTTTGCCTCCGGCTGAACGCTTCCGCCAGGGGTGTATTCGGCGAACGAAAGTTTAAGTAAGATCGTTGGAGAGGGGACCGGAAGCGCGCAAGCACTGCGAGACGGTTCTTGATTTTGTTCAGTTTCGATGAGCTGAGAGGTCTCGTGTGTGATTTGAACGGGTTCGGCGGGCAGCGTGTTAACGTTCGTTTCTATTCATCTGGAGCGTTGTTCGGAGGGAAACACAGAGACGGTCACTGGAAAAGATCGGAACGTTCCGATCGGTCAATTAAGTATTAAGTTAGCCTACACACTAATTTAAAAGAAAACACGTTTAAGTTTCTCATGCTTATTGTTTGAAAGTAATGTCTAAAGTACATATTCACATTATAAATAAGGATGTAAAGTACATTACATTCTTATTTCTACAAATTCGACTACAGAATTCGTAAATTCTCATCGACTGCAAATTCCATGTAACAAAATGTTTCGTAACCTTATTATTGAAAGAGGTATTTAAGTGGAAACGTTTAGGTGGACCGCTCTGTACAAAAAAGATACGAACGAAAACCGAAGGTAGCACACACATTTTAATTTGAAATGTACAAGAAAATACCAAGGCCTAATATCAGGCCTAATCTCATTTGTCATTTAAAGGGAGGGAAACACAGAGACGGGTCACTGGAAAAGATCGCAACGTTCCGATCGGTCAATTAAGTATTAAGTTAGCCTACACACTAATTTAAAAGAAAACATGTTTAAGTTTCTCATGCTTATTGTTTGAAAGTAATGTCTAAAGTACATATTCACATTATAAATAAGGATGTAAAGTACATTACATTCTTATTTCTACAAATTCGACTACAGAATTCGTAAATTCTCATCGACTGCAAATTCCATGTAACAAAATGTTTCGTAACCTTATTATTGAAAGAGGTATTTAAGTGGAAACGTTTAGGTGGACCGCTCTGTACAAAAAAGATACGAACGAAAACCGAAGGTAGCACACACATTTTAATTTGAAATGTACAAGAAAATACCAAGGCCTAATATCGGGCCTAATTTCATTTGTCATTTAAAGGGAGGGAAACACAGAGATGGGTCACTGGAAAAGATCGCAACGTTCCGATCGGTCAATTAAGTATTAAGTTAGCCTACACACTAATTTAAAAGAAAACACGTTTAAGTTTCTCATGCTTATTGTTTGAAAGTAATGTCTAAAGTACATATTCACATTATAAATAAGGATGTAAAGTACATTACATTCTTATTTCTACAAATTCGACTACAGAATTCGTAAATTCTCATCGACTGCAAATTCCATGTAACAAAATGTTTCGTAACCTTATTATTGAAAGAGATATTTAAGTGGAAACGTTTGGGTGGACCGCTCTGTACAAAAAAGATACGAACGAAAACCGAAGGTAGCACACACATTTTAATTTGAAATGTACAAGAAAATACCAAGGCCTAATATCAGGCCTAATCTCATTTGTCATTTAAAGGGAGGGAAACACAGAGAGACGGTCACTGGAAAAGATCGGAACGTTCCGTTTCGCGCAGTTGCTTCCGCCCACGCGGATCGATCTGCGCATAGTAGATACTGAACCGTACGCGAGCACGGTCCTCCAGAGGAGAGCAGGTGTCCGGGAAAGCTCGTGGAAAATCGCGTTCGGTGCGTCTTCCGTTCGCTATCTTACGGAGGTGACATGTGACAGCGAACTGTATTTGCGACACGCCGACTGGCTGGGTCACCGTGGCCGGAATGAGATCGATCCTTCTCCCATCTCGCTCGTCGCCCTCTTCGTGCGAGCGGACACCCGTTTATTCGCCGATAGGGTGCTATCCAGATGGGCTACCGCGTGCGTTTACGTTGCTATCGGTACGTACGAGTATACTTAGATCGCAAGAAACGCGGACCGGAAGTGCGGAAGGTACATGTGCTCTTGACGAACTTTTCTGTACACGTTCTGTGCATCTTGCAGCTGTCCTTCCTTTATCGTTAATTTGAAGTTGTGACATGTAGTTGTGAGACAACATCCAATTATAGGCAAGGAATTCGAAGTTCAAGTTAATCAGCTCGAACTATATTCAATAGTGATTGCCACATTTGCGTGGTACTATCGACGCTGTTTCGACAACAGAGAATTGACGTCAACTTCGGGTTAGCTTCATACGCCGAGTGCCGATGATACAATGACCTGAACGCGCTGTGCGCGAAAATCATACCTTCTTCGTTGTTATTTTATTCTTTTATTGTGCGATTTATTTCGTACCGTGTTTTGTGTGTGTTTTGTAGAAGTTAGGATTTCATAGACGATATTTGTTAACGCTATGACTGCCGCGTCACACGTATGCGGGCGACGAAATTATTTAAAGTTTAATTTCTATGCTAATCCATAAAAATTTCTTCGTCTTATTGAGATTCACAAGAGATAAGAATGTCGAAATAGTAATCGATATCGTATAACTTCGCTTTGCAAATTTAATTTAAAATACTTTAAATCTATGAAATTTTGAGATATTTTCGGCGCGGCTGTCAATGTGTTAATGTTGCAAACAGGTATGGAAAATTTGCATGGATAAAAGACTAGCAGATAGATTGAAAGATAAGAGAAATATTACCGACTGTCATTGATTCGGTAACAATAGTGATTGTTACTGCTCTATAAATAGAAGATAACGCGAAAGACAAAATATAATTCTACCAGATTTTAACAAACTTATTATTGTTATATTTCGTGTTTCATCTCAATCGAGCAACACAAGTCCTTCAACAGTGACCGCGTATTTCTTCACTTATATAAAAAATTGGAACAGCACGTATTATTGACCGCTTTTTAAAGATAATAGTAATGTGCAATTGTATATTTAAAATATATGTTCATCTTTTTCGTTTGGTGTTTCCGTGCGAGTTTCAATCTACGCGTGTAGCGCTTAAATAATTTTATTAAAAGCCTACCATTCATTACAACGAGGATACGGAGGATAAAACTGTGTAATGCCGCTGGTCGATACTTTAGGGTGATTTTAATCACAAGGACGATGCTCCTCCTCCCTTATTTTGACTGATAGCTCCCCACCATTTAGGGTACATTTAGTCGATTCAGGGTATTATTTTCAGAATCACGACTCAAGGCTATATCGAAACAATCGTGTATGTATATCATGACTAAAATAACTTCATGTCAGTTAGGTCATTGTATGCTATATATCGAATATAACGATACCTTCGTTGTTTTAAACCTGCACAGTCGAAAATATCATTTGTTTTCTTCCTCGAGCCGATAGTTACAATGCTGACATTTAACCAGAATTGAAAAATTGTCATTTGAATATCAAGTATCTGTCAAACTTATTTAAATTTGAACATACAAACGGAATACTTTGAAGAACATGGTACAACAAATTGACAAATATAATTATAAATGATTCTAAGTATGTATATACTCGGTTGTATTTTTGTCAGAATGTGAATAAGGTTTTCAGTAACTGTATACTATATAAAAAGAATCTTAAAAATATTCTTTTAAGTAATCAATATATCTCGGAAGAAATTAATATATTATATTATTGAGAGGGACTTCCTGGAACACAATTGAAATTTTTATTGCTATTGAAGTATTTACTATGAAAATTTTATATTTGAGTTGCGTACTTTTAAAGTTTGTTAAATCCCCATCGTCAATGTCAATGTATCAATGTTCTAGAGTTAATTTAACACTTCGAGTATCACGTTAGTCACACATAATTGATACAATTGTTGTTATCGAGCTTAAAAATTAATTTTGATTATGATCTGTTAAGTAAGTCAAACTTATTTTGAAAGAATAACAATTGTTATGATAAAGTTTGTTTTTTCTATTTTCATATTACCAACTCTTTAATTGTTCAATCTATATGTCGTGCGAGCGAGAGTATTTATAAAAAAATAAATATATACAATGCAAATACACTGTAAAGCCACAATAATAATAATACAAAAAGTAGATATTTCCTTTACTATACTTTGCTCGTTTTAGTTAGCAATTAAAGGGTTAAACAAGTTGTTCTGTTTCCGTGTGTATTTTATGAACACAGGCGTGCCAGTGAACGTGTTGGTAAATGCATATGCACATTTAAAATTTAATCATAAAACGAGTAGGCAGTATAACTTTAAAATAGCCTATTTCTTACGTTGTCTGTAAACCAATATTTTTCAATTATCGGATTTACGACAGCCTGTCGCGTGAAAATTTCTTTTGGGATTGGTGATCTTTGAACTTGGAAGAAGGAAGTAGTTCACCTAACACGTGAAACTGGGTCAGCCCCAACGAGTCAAGTGAGCCGTGCCACTGTCGTTTCTTTCCCCTTCTTACACAATAACATACAGGCCCGCTAAATTACGGTACAATCGGCGAAACATTGATTCCACGCAAGATGGAACGAACAAACGATAAATATATATGAATAATTAATAAAATCGTTGAATTCGTTGCATGAATGTTCTAAAAAAAAAACATCGAGCACTATTCTTATTTTATTTTAAATAACACGCGAACATTTAGATTATCATAGTGACAGATAAAGTAAAATAACGACTCCCCTTGGCTCTTGATGCTTTTAAAATAGAACAAAAATGTTATTACCCATGATTGAAAGGTCAAATTTAATTTTGCATCGCCGCGCGCGCGCGCGCGTGCGTGTGTGTATTACAACTGCATGAAATGTATGGTTGTCATTCGTTCAATATTTTCCTTGCTCCAAGTTCCTTACTCAGAAAATGTCTTTATTTATAGCTGCATAATTTTATCGATAACGTAAATAATACAATAAATTTAACTTTGACCGGACAAAGACAAAACAGTTTAATGTAAGTTTATTGATTTTATCAAGTTTTAATACACGTTTAACAAATTTGTACGAATGAAAATAGTAATACAAATTTTTGTACGCAATAATTAAAAATAATTAAAATCGAACGCTAAAGTAGGTACTGAAAGATTTGTCATAGTATGCAAATATATTGTATGTATCATAATGTAAAATAAATATTTGCTTTATCAGATGCGATAAACGGAAATCAGATAAAAAATTTTTAATCTCAAGAATTCTTTTATACTGTTCTAAAATTGGGACTCTTACAATATTTTCTTTTATTCATTTATATTAGCTGTCAGAATCAAAAATCCTACGAGCTAATGTGATGGAACTTTTCCAAGTGTAACACATTGTATTATGTGAATTCATTGAATCAAAATATATGATTCCATTTAAAAAAATAAAGTTGACCTTCATATGTTCTGAACACGCGTTCACCTAGAAATATCTTATTAAATATCAGATTACGTTACCTCTAGTCAATTCAAATTTCGTTTGAAACATTTTTTAGTATCATCGACGGTTTCGAAGATATTTGACTGGGTTGATTTAAATGGGTCACTCTGTATAGTCTGCATATTCACTACATAACGTAAGAGCATTAATTTTTCACAGTCTAATTATAATGTAACGGTAGAGAAAAAGTTGCGATAGTAATCGAAATTCCTGCTTTAACAAGATTCATAATTGAAAATAAGATGCTCAATAAGATATCCTATAATATCCAATCGGATAGTGTTGCCCGCGTTCGCCCATTTTTATGATATTCTGTGCCCATCGATGCTCTTAACTATGTTAAAAATATTGGCATTAAAATCGTCATATCAAATTTGATGTTTTAATTAGACAATTCTAGGCAAATGTTGGAAAACTATTGATATTCTCAAGAAACAATTTAGAAACAATGCTTATTTATGACAATAGCATTTGATTTTCCGTCATGAATTTTGCATTTTTCATAGAATATTCAAATTTAGCAACCTCTAAATAAGACAAAACTGTACCAATTTTCCTAAAAATCGTATGAACTTATGAAACGCGGCGAACTTCTTGGGAAAAGGTATCGCTGTGCGACGGTTCTCGACGAAAACAGAGACAGAAGGATCGAAGAGAATAATAGAGTCAAAAGAAAGGAAGAGGATAGAGACGGACGGAGAGAAAAGTTCAGGAAAGAGAGCGTGAGGAACGTCTCTGCCGCAAAAGATTACGTAGTACCATTATTTATCCGTGAGGTCAATCCACTCCGACCTAGATACCTAAGCGAAAAACACCTGTCCCGATAGACCTGATTCAATCGCACGTGGTTTCGTGCTTGGGGGACCGAGATCAGTATGCAACGGGAGCGATTGTTCGCTGGCCGAATGCAACGGGTCTGGGTTAGGTTGTTAGCCGTGCTCGATAAGGAAATGGAGAGACCCTTTTGCACTTTCACGCGACCCTTTTTTTTAGGATACTGCTGCTACAGGTGAACGGAAGCTTACCCGATGTGCTGCTTTGGCATACATATAATACACTCCGCGACAATACCATAACACACTATTGCAATCCCTGGCAAAAAGTATTCGAACACCTTTTAAAACGCGATAACTTTTTTAAGACTGCACAATGACTAAAATACTTTCTTTTTAATTTCGCTATTACTCGGAATGAGAAAACAAAAGCGTCGTGCTTTAACTTTCTTTATATCTGAGTCATGAAACGGTTGATTGGATCTCGAGATATCTTGCACACTGTTTTTAAAAATCACCGTTTCGAGGGAAACGCGTTTAAAGTTTTCGAACGTAATTTTTCATATGTTTAACGCTACGGCACGCAGGTATACGAACCGACTACTGGCTAATTTGTGTTAAAGCCTGGAACCTTTTGCAACTTATTTTTAAGATTTCAAATTACTATCTCAGACAAAAAATTTCTTTTTTATTTTTACCACTTATCCATCGCTTATATCACATTCCATGACAATTTGACGCAGATAAAAACTTTTATCTCACAAAGAATAATATAATAAAAATATAAAAACTA